CTTTTAGGAGATGCAATAGGTGATTGGTACCGGGACCCACTCTTGCAGGGAGTCTCCAAAAATTTAGTATGTGATATCAGCTTGCAGGTATAAGTTGATTTTTCTAAATGTTATGTATTATTCAAGAATTCAAATGGTATATAACTTTTAGATTGTCTAAGTTGTGTAGTTTAATCATCATAAAACTTATATTTCATTGAACTATCTAGTCTATTCACATTTCATTGTTAAATTTTGTATTTTTTCTTGTTTTAGGGACCTCAATTCGTCATTTGAAGCCGGGACCTCTAAATTTATTAGACGGCTCTGCCTCATACTTCCTCCGTTCTTAAATAAATGCAACAGGCAACATTTCACACTTGCCGAGATACAACTTTGACCATTAATATATACGAAGTATAATTTTGTATCAGTAAAAAAATTAAAAAAAATAGATTTTGAAATATTTTTTTCATAAAAAAATAATAATACATTAATAAATAAAGCGTAGTCAAAGTAGAACATGCGAATAGTGTAAATTTTCATATGTTGCATTTATTTAAGAACGGAGGTAGTATGTCTTTTTACCTACTAATCACTGCTCAATCCAATAGTCAAATCTGGTGATGGAATTTGCTAGCAATTCCGCCACTTATCCGTTAGCCAAACTCTCTAGTCAAATCCGTTAACATAATCCGCTATCAAATGTTGATTGCAAAACGTGATCTATATATGTTATTAACTTATTTAAATTTTCAACTATCATCAAATTTACAAATGTCTAAGAATCATATTGTCAGTGGATTAATTACAAATGTCTAAGAACATCCGATGTATATTCCATTTTTTCCCCTTTTTATCCAGTTTGACTTACGGACATCTAGGTAATATGACTTTTACATATGATGCATAGAACAAAACCTACATAATTGATCATGATATTTGTAGGATGAATGAAATAAAATATTAATACTTGAACAAAAATCAAGTGTTAGAGGCCACGTAGTACCAACTACCACCGCATATCCTCTTGGCTTCCCTGTCTAATACGCAGTCGATCTTAAGTACCGGATATAAACTATTATTAATCTTGACAGAAAGACAGTCTTATTAGTCTCCAAAGCTTTCAAAGACGTAATTCGTAAGTTGATTAACTTTGACAAATAATGCACTACTTAATCCAATTTCTTACCTTTTCACAATTCAAAAAGGTGGACTCGTCTACCCCAAAGTCCCCACACCCGACCCGAGAAAGTGGTGAAATAGTAAATCTACGATATCAATCAATTTCTGATGCGCACCAAGGCCACTACATTATATTGAACCTCGTACACTATCATTTTCGTCGGTCGGGAATTGAATCTGAGACATCAAGCCAAATACCTCACTCGGGCACCATTGAGCTATCTGTGCGGATAATTTCTTACTTTTCCAGAATATTATTGCAATATAATCTTCAGAGTAATTGCATGTACGATACCTTATTTCATTCATAAATGACCTTTTGAAAATCGGAAGATTAATCTAATTATAAGTCATAGTGTTTTCTTAGTTGTTAATTAATTTAGTGCAAGTTTGAATTAGGTTCAACTCATTAATGTCAGATGTACAATATACATATTAGTATCAACAAGTTTCAACAATAAATACGTTTTTTGAGATTTTAGTATGAAATATACATTGAACTTCTAAAAAAATTAATTTGAGACTTAAAGTATCGGCTATAATAACAAGCACTTTTGATCGAAGAAAGTATAATAGATAGTATTTGACTCGTTTTAACCATTTGACCAATTTTAGGATACCGATGTTGGACTTTGGTAATGACTTTTAACTCCAACGCATTCTTTTGTCGGTTAAAAAATAAAGTAGTCTTGCAAAATCACAATCCATACTAGGCAGCTTTAGACCGTGTTAAACATTTGTAAGATTAAAAAAAACATCCTTTCTTGCTTTTATACTGTCGTAGATGAGGGCGTGCAAGAAGTGCTATTGCACAAGGCCTCTCGATTCAGAAGGCCCAAAATTTTAAATATAGTCTACATAATATACAAAATCCTTTTTTATTTGATTAAAGATTCCTATTTTAGTATTTTGTTTTTAAATACAAACATTAAATACTAATATTAATATGTAATTAAAATGCAATTGTTAATTATAAATGCGCAACTTCTTTATTACATAAGGCCTGAATAAGGCCTAATTATAGTAATTAGCACAAATTTCTCGTACAGTTTGGACGAGCTTGGTTTTAAGGGACGGAGTAGTTTTTTCAGTAATACCCTACTCTATATTTTTTAGTTCATGATTTTAGTTCATTTCTTTCCGCTTTTAGTTTTTTTTTCCGATTTTGGCTGTTCAGGTTCGAAATATGATTATATCTCAATGTCACATTTGATAGTAGTCTTTTTTGGGTTATTTTTTAAAGGCTGTTTTTTATATTTTATTTATTTAATATAAGGCTTATTTTACGTGATTTGCACCAGGTCTCCTAATCTATTGAGTCGGCCCTGTCGGTAGTACATAACGAAATTTTAATAAAACCTTTCATGTTTAGTACTCCGTACTTCATTGTTTTCATGTTTATTACTCCGTCTTTGAAAAAACAAAAAGTCGTCTTTTTCCTAACAATACAAACCAATACTCCGCAATATTTTAGGTTGTGTTTTCTCATTTTATACTTCGTATTACGGTTATACGTGTAAAAACATTAGAACAAGTGAACAACTGTCGAGGTAAACATATGGTCGTCACTTTTTTTAAAGGAAAAGTGACAAAAATTTTACCTCTTCATTTTTAAAAGACACAAATATGATTAGTGTCAGTGGCGGACCCAGAAAAACAAAGCCACGGGGTCCCCAGTATAACATTTTTAATTACTATAAATTAATTAAACAAAGTAAAACGTTAAAGAAGCATAACGTTTTATAATCCGTACATCATAAAAAAAATTAGATAATGTAACGCAAAAAATTAAATATAAAAGGGAAATCATGATTGTGAGGTTGAAACTGCTCTTTTTTAAGGTAACTACGGCGTAACTTTTCTTGAAAATCAGGATGAAAATCGGCAATTTTTTTCCTAATCCAGGATCAGCTTCCAAAGATTCAACATGTTGTTTATGTAGATTCAAATTAGCTTCACTTTTAGCAATTACTTAATCTAATTCTTCATTTGCTAGTAGTGAATCATTTGAATTAACATCTGAACTACTCCCAGTATTCCGAATTTCCTTATATATGGGTACAATACCGAAATATCTTTTCATCCTAAATCGTAAAATATTGAAAAAGTATTCATAATAAATACATAAATTTATTGATTTAATCTTAACTTTAAAAAAAATATTGATTTAATCTTAACTTTAAAGAAAATTTAATAATTAATCTAAAAATGAATTTTGCAAAGGTCAAAGGAGTGAGTGGAGTCCCGTAATGGGAGAGGCAGTAACGAATTAACTAATAGCTATGGCCTATGGATGCTGTGGTCTGTTACTAGCAAGTTTAAAAAATAAACCGATGAAAAATTGTGAGGAAGGAATCGAACTCAGAATCATCTGCATGAAGGTAATTATCGCGCGCGCTACCGCTGCACTGATTTTGTAATTTGGTCATTTTGTTGCTATTTATATGAAATATATATAATATATATAGGTATTTTTGGAAGTGCATGGGGTCCCGGGACACGTGGGACCCTTAGTGGGTCCGCCACTGATTAGTGTTTATTCTTTGTTTGTTCAATATAGTGTTCTTTTAATTTTAATCCTTAACCAAACTATCTATCCTAATCCCCTGCCCCGCTGCCTCCTCCCATAACACCCGCCGGCAGTCACCGCTGGAAACCGCCACCACTGGTCGCATGAAAATTTTGCTGGATTTTTTCATATTCTTTTAAATTTTCACCATGAAAATTCCATTAAAATTGATCACCACTGGTCGCGATGGGAGTGACATCTGTTTAATCGCATTTTTTCAAATTTATTACTCTGTTAATCACATTTCATCCATGTGTAAAAGTATTTATTTTTAAAAACCAGTTTCAATTTTATCATATTTTAGGAAAATCAGTATCACCAATCAACCTGTCAGGGGTGGGCACGGGTTGGGATGGTCCGGGATTAGGGTTATCCCGGTCCCGATCCAATTTAGCTTACCGGTACGAGACGGGATGTGACACGGCTTTGTCCTAGTCTTGTCCCATTTAAATCAAGACCGGGGTAATTCGGAACGGTTCGGGACATCCCAAACTAACAAAAGAGTATTAAACAAAAAATTACGTAGTACTATTTAAAATTAAAGTATATTAGCATTTCTAAAGTATCATGCAACAAAATATTAACATTTTAAAAGTTCACTAATGTTCATAACAAGTTATCTATCACAAAAAAAAACTAAAAGTTACGGAGTATTAGAATTTAATTAAGTTTAGCAAAAGAAGAAATTAAAATTTAAAACAAAGAAGAAAAAGAATTAATTTATTCAAAATTAATTATGTGTTCTAGATGTGGGATACTCATATGCAGATATATAGAGAGTGAGATGCAAACCTAAGTTAGTAAATATTTATATTAGGTATTATTTTTAATTAAAAAAATGGGCTTGAAAAACTAAAAACATACTATTTTTTATTTTTTTGAGATAGCACTACAAACTAGTCAAATGCTAAAACTATATAGTATTACAAACAGGACAATGGGACGGTTCAGGATAACCTTCCAGTGTCCCAGTCATTTCCCGTTTTAAATCGGTACGGGACCGGTGCAGGACGAAATAATCGGATCCCAAACGGAACAGGACAACACCGGTACGGTTTCGGGATATACCGGAGTGGGACAACGGGACCGGGATTCTTGCCCACCCCTACAACCTGTACCGGCCCGGGACCGGGTCGGGCCTCGAGACTGGCCAAGGATCTGTTCGGGTTGGGCTGCTCGGGCGGGTCTCATGTCGGGCTGCTCGGGCGGGTCTTGTGTCGGGCATTTTTTTATATAATTTTGTTTAAAAATTAATTCAACAAGTGCTAGACAATAAAAATTTAAAGTATATTTATTTGAAATACGAACTACACTTGAGAATTGAGAATAATTTAAAACATTAAATACATTTCCTAAAAATCACTCGGAATCTTCGGCACTGTCGGTTGTTGTTTCCTCCATGAAATGGCGGTGGGGGCAATGCTAACTTCTTGAGTTCTATGCTGGGCCTGCAACCAATCGTGGAAGCAAACAAGTGTCTAAAGAGATTTTGCGCTCAATCTCGTTCTATAATCCATTAGGAAGTTGCCGACCGCACTAAATTCTTGCTCCACGGTAACTCTTGACACCGACATTGATAACACTTGTTTAGCCATCTTCGATAAAATTGAAAATGTTCTTTCTTTGTCCTTCCGCCACTACAGAACGTCAAAGTCGTCCTTTTCTTCACAGTCAACATGAAACGTTAGGTGTAAAGAAAGCTCGTTAATCGAGCTTTGTGCAACAGCGAGAGTTGATTTACTTTTGTCATAAGATTGCCAAATGTAGATTTCAAAAAAGATTTTTCTTTAGATGAAGATGTTCATGTCTGGGGAGGGGGTGCGTTACCATATTGTGCATGAAACTCATTATATAATTGATGAAATAAGTTACAGGCCTCGTTGTATTACTCTTTAAGATCTATGGACTTATCCTCGTACATAGGTAATGGATCAAAAAAACAATCATAAGAGTATTCTAAACATTTTTTAAAAGCATTAAGTTTGAAACGAGGATCAAGAATAAATGCAATACCATATATATGCAGAACATGTGAAAAATATTTTAAAAACTTTTCTTTCATGAAAGAACAGAAATAATGATCGTAAGGGGCATTTTCAAATTCAGAAAATGCACCGACGAGATTAACAACTTCAACATAAAATTGGTTTGCAGTAGGTTTATAAACATGAATAAAAGTTTGAGTTCCATTTTTAAAATATACCAAAACATTTACAATTTTTTACATAGTGTCAATCTCAACCGGATTTATAATATTGTTAGCATATTCTTTTCAAAAAGAAGGAAAATGTCTTTATATCTAATAAGTACAACAATTAAGTTATAAGTACTATTCCAACAAATAGACAAATCTTTTGGAAAAACACACTATTTCACACGTCTAGTCCTCAAATATTCACGTCATTGCACTTTAAGTTGATTATTAGCCCACATAAGTTTAATATCCCCTTCACTTTCTCCATAGCATCTCCTAAAGAGGCTAGCCCGTCTTTTAAACATAAATTGAGAATATGACATGCACAACGCTGATGAAAAAACATACCCATCAAAGTAGAAGAACCACACAATTCACACAATCTTGGTGTAGGAGCAGTACTATTACTACCATTATCAAAACCCATAGCAAACATTTTATCAATCAAATTATATTAAATAAAAATACGTTCAATGAGAATATAAATTATCACCAGCGTGCCGGTCATTAAATTAAGGAAAAACAAGAACATGTTTATGCATTTTCCTATCATCATCAATATAATGTGAAGTCACGCCCAAATTATACAAATGATGATAAGTATCCTCCCATATATCACTACAAATTCTAACACGCCTGTTGGGATATTGGGTCCAGGCCCAATATCCCTAGGCCCAAATCCGGGAAGAAGCAGCAAGCCCAAAGAACTCCCGAACAGCATTCGGGATAAAACTTATACTTGGAACATTCTGGGTAACGATTATGCCAAGGTATCACGGCCCAAATATCGATCGGCGTTCGGGATACTTCAGGTAGAAATTATCACCTATGGCGGGGTCCCACACACCGAACACCTTGCCCGAACGGGCAGTCAGCAAGTGGAGGCCGCATTTAATGCTGGATCATGACAGCTGCAAGTGGGGGCATGAGTGCTTACATGGCAGAGGTGATAGCCTACCAGATTCGACCACGTGTCCACCTTACCCATCCCCATCTTAGTATAAATATCCATGTTTAGATCATTGTAAAGGGTTAGCATTTTAATACTCAGAGCTTAGCAATAGATTTACATCTTCCATCCTTGTAATCTCGTATTCATCTACCGTTCGGGTAGCTCCAGTGTAATCACATATTTATTGAATACCGGTAAGCTTCTGAGTTGAGCAAATATCTCACTGTTTTATATTTTATACACATTTTAATCCAACCCAATATCCCTACAATATCCAAGGCTTGTGTTGGGCTTTCGGATCTTCGGGAATAAACCTCAACATTGGCGCCGTCTGTGGGAAACCACACTAAAAGTCCAGACAAAGCCGTGATCTAAGCACCATTTTTTCTTGAAAATGGCTAGACTTACTAACCGCAACACCGAGTTCTACATCCAGAGGCCGAGGAGGCAATAGATCCTCTGAGGGGTGGTCCATGCAAGGACACGCCAGTGGCAGTGCCACCCGGGAGTTCGAGCAAATCATCCCCCGGGATGTAAGGATGAACCCTCAGTTAATGAGGGAGATGGCGGAGGCCATGCAACGCATGGCGGACGAACAGGAACAGGGCTACACCGATGAAACTCGTGAGCCACCATCCCCGTTGCGTCCCATGCCATCTCTCGACGAAGAGGAGGACATTGAGACCACGATGGCCTCAGTTCATTCCGAGGAACACCGCAGGAACCACTGGAGGGCCCATACCCCCAGACGTGAAGCACCAACCAGCCGAACCCCGTCCGCCCCTCGAAACGGATATAGGGAACCTACCCCCATGGTAGATCCCGTTGGACAACACTTCCAGTATATCCATAGGGATGGGGAACGCTTCATCCGGAGGAGAGCTAACACAACTGCCCCTCCCCAAAACAGAATACCGGGATATGTGGATGCTAGGATACCACATACTCCCCGAACGGCCCAAGACGACGAAATGGCCGAAATGAGGAGACAGATGACTGAGCTCAGAGAGCAGGTCAATCGGACGCCCCAACAAACCCCGCCAGCACGGGTTGGGATCACATCTCCCTTTACTAGGGAAATCATGAACGCCGAAATCCTGAGGGACTGCCGTCCCTCGACCGGCTTAACATACGATGGGGTGGGAGATCCCCACGTACACCTGAGGAGTTACCAGGGTGGCCTCATGCTGCTAGGGGCCACCGACGCGGCAATATGCAGGCTGTTCTTCAGCACCCTTCGGGGACCAGCCCAGGAATGGTTCGGAACATTGCAACCCGGATCGATCGGAAGCTTTGCAGAGCTATCCACCTTATTCTTGGCCCAGTTCGCCTCCAGCACAACCCCGAAGCTGCATTTCGGGTATCTGACCAGTGTGAGACAAGGACCGAAGGAATCAATTTCCGGGTTCCTCACCAGATGGAGGACTGAAACCCTGAAGGTGACCGGCATGACAGATGAAACTGCCATCCTTCTTTTTACCGATGCCCTTCAGACGGGGGATTTATACAGGGAGCTGAAGAGAAACCCGGGAACCAGCTACCCAGACATCCTGGAAAGGGCCAGGGGTCATGCGGCCTTGGAAGAAGAGATCAAGATAAGGGACCGAACGGCCCCACAGCCTCCCACTTCAAGGCTGGCAGAACGTTTGGGACCCGCACCGGCAGCAGCAGCATCTCATCGCAGGACTGCGCGCTTCACCCCCCTGGTCATGTCTATAGCCGGTGTTTTCCATTTGGAACACAACGCCATTCCTCCCCCTACTGACACAAGGCCCGTGATGGGACCTACCCCAAGCTCCTACTGCAGATACCACCAGCGGAATGGGCACCTCACGAAGGATTGCCACGCCCTACATGTGGCAATTGAGGACCTGATCCAAAAGGGCTACCTGAGGAAGTATGTCAGCACCAACCTGAACAGCCCTTCCCCCAACCAGCGCCCTCCCCGATCCAATAGCTGGAAGCGGGATGCCCAGCGGGATGCAGAACCCAGTAATGATTCATACCTTCCCCCTATAGAGGAGGCTGAGGGGTCTGGGAATCCGGGAAAAAAGCCACGATTGGAGGTGAAAGTCATCTTTGGTGGAGGGGAGACCGGTGATACGGCCGCCGAACGTAAGAAATTTGAGCGCAGACTCTATGTCGCCACTGTAGCTGCACCTCCCACAAAGAAGGGCCGCTTGGAGCCAATTACGTTCGGGGTGGCTGATCTACCCAACTCACCAAGTCCGCACAGGGACGAGCTAGTGGTGAGTATGTGTATAGACAACGCCTTGATCCACCAAGTTCTGGTGGACACGGGAAGTAGTGTGAACGTGGTGTATTTACGCACGTTGGAGAAGATGAAGCTGAAGAAGGACCAGTTGACCAAGCTGAAGACGCCGCTGGCTAGCTTCACCGGCAATGTAATAGAGGCAGAAGGCACCATCCAGCTTCTGGTGGAAATTGGCGATGAAATTCACCGAGCGGCAGTCCGGATGACGTTTGTGGTGGTGGATATTGCATGTGCCCACAACGCCATATTGGGCCGTCCGGGGCTAGAAGATTTGGAGGCAATTGCCTCTGTTCGACACTCATGCATCAAATTCCCAACTGACACCGGTGTAGGAGTGGCCCGAACAGATCCTGCCATAGCCCGAACGTGCTACCGGGAAGCTTTGAAACAAATGACCACCCGGGGACAGCGGGTAAACAGCATTGAGGTACAGACCCGGCATACGGAGTTCGAGGGACGCCCCGAGCCAGCCACCCTCCTAGAATACATCGAGCTTGATTCCCCTCCCGATCGTAAGCTTGCGATCGGGGCGGACCTTGAAGGGGGAATCAGGGAGGGGGTGATCGCTGTCCTGAAGAGATTCCAGGTCCTATTTGCCCGAGGACCCGAAGACATGCCGGGAATTGATCCGGCCCTCATCTGCCACAAGTTGGCCGTTTGGCCTGATGCCAGGCCAGTCCAACAAAAGAAAAGATATCAGGCGGCCGAACGGCGGGAATTCACAAAGCAGGAGGTAACCACCTTACTGAGAATCAGGCACATTAGACCAGTCATCCACGTCGAATGGTTGGCTAATGTGGTCCTTGCTCCAAAAGGATCTACTTGGAGAATGTGTGTGGACTACTCCGATCAGAACAAAGCCTGCCCCATGGACCCCTATCCTGTCCCACGAATAGACCTGCTGGTGGACGAAACAGCAGGATGTGAACTGCTGAGCTTTATGGATGCCTTCCGGGGTTATCACCAAGTCTTCATGTACCCAGATGATGCAGAAAAAACTGCGTTCGTCACCTCGGACGGCGTGTTCTGCTATATCGTCATGCCGTTCGGGTTGAAGAATGCCATGGCCACTTTTCAAAGAATGATCGGCATGCTCTTCAAAGAGGTACTAGGGGTAACCATGGAAGCATATGTGGATGACATCCTAATCAAGAGCAGGAAGAAGGAGGATCATGTCCGGGACATGGAAAGGGTCTTCGGGATCATGCAGAAGGCCAACATGAGACTGAATCCAAAAAAGTGCGCCTTCGCAGTCAAGGGGGGCAAATTTTTGGGTTATATGATGAGCGAGCGGGGGATTGAGCCTAATCCTGAGAAAGTAAAGGCAATCATGGACATGGAGGCACCGCGGAACTTGAAAGAAGTTCAGAAGTTGACCGGAAGATTAGCGGCTTTGAGCCGATTTATGGCTAAACTGGCCGATCGTGCCATTCCATTTTTCCAAATAATGAAGAAGGCCAACCCGTTCGAATGGACAGCAGAATGTCAGGCAGCTTTTGAAGAGTTCAAATTGTACCTGTCTTCCCCCCTGGTCTTAACTAAAGCAGACCCAGGGGAACATCTCTATATGTATCTGGCTGTGGCTGATCTGGCGGTCAGCTCTGTCTTATTAAAGGAAGATGAGGGTGTTCAGCGCCCTATTTACTTTGTGAACAAAGCCCTGAACGGGCCAGAAACCAGGTACACCTTAATGGAAAAAACCATCTTAGCATTGATTGCTACCATCAAGCGACTGGCACCCTATTTCCAGGCACACCCAGTCACCATCTACACTACCCAGCCCCTGGCCACCATACTGAGAAATCCTATGGCAAGTGGGCGTATCACCAAGTGGTCCCTCCTGATCGGGCAGTATGAAATAGACTTCAAACCTCGCCTCACGATCAAGGGACAGGCTTTGGCTGACTTCATTGCCGAATGCACTGCCAGATCAACTGAAGAAGGAGCGGACGGAGAAGTACATGACCATTGGTGGGAAATGTATGTGGATGGAGCATTCAGTAACAAAGGCTGTGGTGGGGGTGCTGTGATCACATGCCCCGAGGGGTTCAAGGCATACTACTCCGTGCAGTTTGACTTCAAGGTAACCAATAATGAGGACGAGTATGAAGCCCTTATTGCTGGATTAAAGTATGCCAAGGCCCTGGGGGCCAGCAGATTAAAGGTCCGTTCGGATAGCCAGCTGGTGGTAAGCCAGATTAATGGATCTGCCGAAGTTAGGGAAGAACGGCTAAAAGCCTACAAGGAACTGGTTGAGGAAGAAATCGGCAGGTTCGAACAGGTGTTGGTTGACCAGATTCCCAGAATCGAAAACAGTGAGGCGGACATCCTATCCAAACTGGAATGTGCCGTTCGGGATGATCATGCCCTAGGCATCCCTGCACACATCCAGAGGTTCGCGCAGAAAGAAATACTGACCACACCGGCAACAATGGTTGTGCGGGTAGATGCCATGTCCTATGCCGTCCCAAGCTGGGTCACTGACTTGACAAATTACCTGAAGGATGGGACTTTGCCGAACGATAAAAATGACGTGTACAACCTCACTTGTATACAGCGAAGGGCCCCCATGTTCGAACTCGTGGACGGACAGCTGTACAAGAAGACGTTCGGGGGGCCATATCTGAAATGCCTTCCCCCCGTTCAGGCGGCAACTGTGATGGAAGAAATTCATGAAGGCATCTGCTCCAGCCATCAGGGACCAAAGACCCTGGCCAGGAAAATCATCCTGCAGGGGTACTATTGGCCAACGATTCAACAGGATTGTTTCGAACACACAAGGAAGTGCAAGGTATGCCAGCTTTACGCACCAGTACCCGGGCGGCCTGCAACTTTTTACACCCCGATGACCATATCATTACCATTCGCTAGGTGGGGGATTGACTTGCTAGGGCCCCTATGTAATGCATCCGGAGCAAGGAAGTACATCATAGTGGGGATTGATTACTTCACCAAATGGGTGGAAGCCGAACCCCTGGCCAGTATCACGGATTTTCAATGTCAACGTTTTGTTTGGCAAAATATTATATGCAGATTCGGGCTGCCCGAGCAGGTCATCACGGATAATGGACGGCAGTTTGTGAGCAAGAACTTCGAGGAATTCCTCACTAGATGGGGAATCAAGCATTCAAGAGCTTCCGTAGCATATCCACAGGCGAACGGGCAGGTAGAGAACATGAACAGAACCATCATGGATGGTATAAAAAAGAAGCTCGAAGATTACACGTCAACCTGGCCCGAGCAGTTAAACTACGTCTTGTGGACATACAGGACAACTCCCCGAACAGCAACCGGGGAGACACCGTTCGCCCTCGCTTATGGATTTCAGGCTAAGGTCCCAACTGAGGTCTTGGTGCCCACTCACAGAACCATCCACTATGATCCTGAGCAGAATGAGGACAATCTGCGTGCTGAACTCCACTTCATAGAGGAAAGAAGGGATCTCTCAGCTTTACGAATGGAAGAATATCACCGGGCGACTAAGAGGTATGTGGATAAACAGGCTAAAATCCGTTCGATTGAAGTCGGAGACCTTGTCCTGAGGAATAGAGAGAAACGCAAACCGCTAGAGGGCGGGAAGATGTCAAAGAATTGGGAGGGACCATACCGGGTCTGGAAAAAATACCGGATGGGGACCTTTTCCCTACAGGATACCGAAGGCTGTCCGGCAGGGATATGGAACGCTACGCACTTGCGGAAATTTTATCAATAAAAACGGCTGTTGCCACCTCTAAAAAAAAAAAAGAAAAGAAAAAGAAAAAGAAAAAGAGGGAGAACAATGCTTCCAAAGAGGTCAGAGTTAAGAGGAATATTGCGAGCCGAACGGCATCAACAAGCCGAACGGCATCACCACAAACTCGGCCAAAAGTCTCACCTTGATCTATAGATGTTATTCATCTCGATCCATGGGGAGCCATCATCTCAGCACAAAAAATATATATATATATATATATAATACAATGTGCAGGATAACCAAGCCCGGACTCAGCTTGGGAGATGGTGTAAAAGATCTTGAGTAGGACGAACCGGGCGGCATCCGAAATCATAGGGTGACCGAACGGGGGATCGGGACTCTGGTCTTAAAATCTTGCCTTGGCTATGCAGCTCGCCCGAACCACGATGTAGTGATTTATTGTGGGGGAACCCGAGCTGTAACCTGGAGGCGAGTCTCCATTTTGGCAGAGAATAAGGGGGAGACCCGGATTGGGAGCCTTATTCTCAATGGTCCAGGATGGACATCTCAACCTCATGATATGGATGACCCCGGACGGTAAAACCGACGGTATGCATCGGAATTATGGGCTTGGAAGATGGCAGACACTACACGAATTGTGAAACTGTCTTGCAGCAAGAGGTGATTGCCTTGCGGATAAGGAAAAACGCGGATGATAACCCGAACAGGTTACTTTAGCCTTGGGCCTACAAGGCAGCAGACAGCAAGCAAAACATTGAGGACTTGCGCGTTCAGGGAACAACCAGTCGACGGTAATGAACCGGACGGCATGCATCTGAAACATGGTGCTTGGGGGCACAGCAAGCATTTAACATTGATGACTTGCGCGTTCAGGGAACAACCAGTCGACGGTAATAAACCGGACGGCATGCATCTGAAACATGGTGCTCGGGGGCGCAGCAGGCGTTAAACATTATGTCTTGCGCGTTCGGGAAACAAAGAACAACCGACGGAAATCAATCGAGCAGCTTGCACCTCAACTTTGGTGTTAGGGACGGGCCGAACAGCTTACATCTCAATCATGATGCTGAGTTGAATAAAAAAAAAAAAGGAAAAAAAAAAAGAGTGTTCGGGAAGCCAGTCATTCGGAAACGGATCAATCTTTATTCTTCGGCACTACTGGCTGGGAATCATACATGAGAAAAAGAAAAGGGGATTACAATAAAGAGAGCTAAGCTACGGAGGATCCTTATTCGGCACAGCATCCGAGTTGGAGTTTGGGGGATTGGCTGAATCTTTAGCCTTTTGCCTCTTCTCCATCACCCGTTGATAAGCACGGCAGAATAAGGGATCAAAACCTTCCTCCTTGGGGTCGAAGGGTTCATCGAAAGATTCCTTGATCACCTCCAGATTCCGGTCGACCAGCATATCCTGGCACTTAACAAGGGTGTCCTTTGCTAGAGCATTGGCGAAGGCTGTCCCGGTCGGGGTCTCATCAAGAAGCTTGAGGCCATCGTGTAATGGGTCCTTACTCTTCTCTAGGAATTCACCCAGATGCTTGCCAAGGAACTCCCGAGCAGTATTTTCTAGGGCGAGATTCAGGCCTTTCCCCCTTTGGAAGTCAATCACCGCCTTCTTGGTGATCTTGGAAACATCGGCGGTATAGGGGGCAGGGGGATTCTCCCCCTTGGCCTTTTCAATTTTCAGGCCAGCAGCTTCGGCGACCTTCACCTTGGCACGCAGATCACGGATTTCCCGATCGCGTCGTTGAAGCCTCTGCTCCAGTTCAGCCAGCTCTTCCCTGGCCTTGTCACCCTTATTGGCTCGATCTTGGAGATCTGCAGCCATTTTCCTAGCAGCAGCCAAAAGGGTTTGGCTCTCATCCAGCTCCTGATGAAGGAGGGTCATCTCCCGTTCAGCAGCTAGGAAGGCCCGGTGGTAATATGTACCGGCCTGTGGAAGAAAGAAACAGCAATAAGGACAAGTCCAGAACAATATCAAAAATAAGAAGAATGGACTATACAGTCAAAGGCCTACCTTAAGGGACTCGGCGTGGCCTGCTTCAAATAGGTCGGACCAGTGAGTCAGGTTGGTGAAACCCTCACCAGCCTTCAGAGAAGTACTGCACCACACGGATGATGCAGTCTGCCCGAACAGCGTCCGGCATTCGGCTCGGGGACCCATGGCAGAAAACTCCACCGTCAACCGATCGGGGATCGGGAGACTATCTGAAGCAACACCTCCCCTGTTGCCCAGCTTCCTTGAAGGGGAGGGGACCATAGGCATCCTTTCCACAGAAGGATCCGTCAGATCAATGACCTGATCGATCGGGACCAAGGCGCCGCTGCCTTCAATTCTCGGCCGCTTGTTTACTGGCCCAGATTCCCGGCTAGCGAAAGAACCTGACTGAATAGCCTTCTCCTTTCCCTTGCTGACTATGGCGGTGGAGGAAGGAGTAGGAGCAGGACGCTTTATGGAAACGGGGGGAATCACACCTACAAGAAAGAACGAAGAAAAATGAACAAGATGTTGATAAATATACCGAATGAACAAAGTAATGGAAGAATCTTACCGATGCCAGCAGCTAGCATTTTAGCGGGAGTCAAGAAGGACAGTAGGTTCTTGGAACCGGCCAGACGAAGTCTTTCATACTGGCAGAGAATAGCTGCATCCACCCTTGGGGAGGCATCTTGAACGGGGTAGGTGTTCCACCGATCAGGGAAAGGAAGCGGCGACCCCACATGAACGAACAAAAATCGTTCCTCCCATTTCTCTGGCGGGGTGGGGTTGTCGGTAAAGAGCGAACGGCCAGGGCGGGCGACAAGCCGCAGGTACCCCGGTGGTCCAATAGGGCTGGACGCCGTAGCAGTGCAAAAAGAGGTCGGCGCTAGGAGCAATCCCCAACTCATGGCACCAAACGATAAAGCCGTTCAGGATCCTATAAGTGCTAGGCACGAACTGTGCTGGCAGTACTGAGACCCGGCGGAGGAACTCCACAATGAAAGGGTGCAACGGGAACCGTAGACCGGCGATCAGCGCGTCCATATGAACCAGCACACATCCCGGACGATGCCGCATGGGGTGCTTAATATACCCCCGCATAAAACTGACGGGGTGGCGGTAATAGTTGGCGGAGCGTCTGTTCGGCACCTGCAGGAAGGCGTTGACGCTGTTTCCTGATGCAGTAGAAGTTCAGACTATAGCGAGGGGGGCGTTCAGGCATACCCCTTTCGTAAACGACAAGGTCATCCCCCGACTGACATCCATCATCAGGGAGGGGCTGTTCGGGATGAAGTGAGGAAGAAGACCCGTTAGAACCCGACGATCGGGTAGATGTACCTTGATCTTTGGGGTGAGCTTTTCCCCTCGAATGGCGAATCAAAGTGGGTACCATCTCTTCGGAATCTGACGAACCAGAAAAGGCAGACATAGAATAACAGAGAAGATTCTAGAGAGAGAAAGCTTGAAGGAATTCAGAAGCAGCAGAAAAAACTGAAACAAGGTAGCTACATCCTTATATAAGGAAATGCTACCGCCAAGAATCCAAATGAATAACTGACAAGTGTCAAGACGGTTGGGAGAAGTTAAAGCATCCTTTGGGATAAGAAAACACCCGAACGGGTTGAAGTCAACAAAGTTCACGAACCTCTACGATTGAAAAAGAAAAAGGCTACAAGCGTTTCCCCGAACGGGAGACACCAAAATGTAATGAAGAATGATCGGTGTACCCGAACAGCATGGTTATCTAACATAGAAGAATATGACTAATGCAACAAAGAGAGCAAAAATATATCCCGAATGCCGGACACAATTTCCAACTAATCAGAATGGAAGCTTACGAACGAATGAGAAGGGCACTAGGGTCTTCTATTGAAATCATGAATACAGACTGGACGGGTTCATTAGGAACAACATGCGTTAACAAGATTATCAAGTCTTAAATTCTGGATTTAACGAGGAGTTCACCCGAACAGGTGACCTGACCGCTATAAATTATGAAGACTGGTTAGAACAGGAACAAAGCAACATGAAACGTATTGCGGAGGCGAATTGATAGATGAAAAACAAATATAAAGTACAGTAAAAGTCACAAAGACGAAATGAGCAAGCAAAAGTTGTATATTCATCGGCTCTACTGGCCGGAAAGGACAGAAAAATACTGATTCAAAGGAAAGGAAATACAGATAAAGAGAATGTCTAATCTATTGTTCGGGATGATCTTTATCGTCTTCATCATCATCTTCATCAGCCTCTTCATCTACAATCTGCACGACCTCCATCCCTAGGGCTCGCCGACACTTTTTCATCTGTGCCATCAGGGCGTTCAGATGACCCGGATGAAGGTCGGAGGGAAAGTCAGAAGTTTGCACCGCTCGGCCCATATATCTTTCCAGGAGGGGGAGGAGAGGCTGGAGCATATGTTGGCAGCCTGAACTGTAGATCCCTCGGGCAAGGTTATCAGCCCACTCCTTGGTGACAGGATGCTGATCAAGCACCCTGACCCCCTCCTTCTGGCGCTCTTCTCCGGCCAGTTTCTCCAGATGCCTCCCGAAGACAGCGGGGAGCTGTTCGGTGGCGTACTTCTCCTTCAGAGCCAGAAACTCCTCCGAAGTCTTGAAGGAATCCCGAACGGCGGAAAGATCAACTGTCATTTCGGCCGGTCCGTCCGGGATCTGAGGAGGAGCCTCAGAGAATTTGATCTGAGCAGCCTCAGCTGCTGCAATCTTGGCCTGGAGAGCGCCCACTTTAACACGGAGCTCCCCTGCCTCGGCTTCTAGCTTCTTCCGCTCCTCAGAGAAAGCCCGCCGTTCGGCCTCCGCTGCCTGTTCGGCCATTTCCTTGGCCATCAGCAGGCCTTGTTCCTTGGCCTGCCTGGTCTCCTTGAGCTTCAGGCTGTATATCCCTGCCTATTGATCGAAAAGAAAAGTATGAGCACATGACAAGCTATCAAAACAAAGGTAAAAGTAAGCTATCAAAACAAAGGTAAAAGTAAATTATGAACATAAGACAAGAAGCTACCTTCAGGACAGTCAGGGCAATGCACTCCTCGACCTCCTCGACCGGTATTGGGGGGAGGTTGTGTCCATTAAGGAAACCAGATGTGGACCAGATCTGGCTCGCTGGACAGCCACCCCTCTCCAGCATTTCATGAGCAGGATCATAGAGGGAGATCCGCTCGAACTGACTAGCCAAGTCAGCCTGATGGGCAGCCACCTCCTCAGCAGAGAAATGGTGAGACTGCTGGTCACAGAAAAGCTGATCCATCAACGTGTCAGCGTGAGTTTGCTGCTCAGGGGCAACCTGCTGCACAGGTTCTACATCCCGAACAGGTTCGGACTGCTCGGGGACGTGAAGGGCGGATTGAGAGGAGGCGCCCTGATCGGCCTTCCTCAACCTCTTTCTCTTTGTCTTCCTCTGCTGCTTGGGAGGAGAGGTTGGTGGCTCGTCATCAAGTCCAGCAGTGAACAGCCTACTATCATCCATGGCCGGTTGTTCGGGATTGGCTCCTTCGGAGTCTGAAGATTCGCCTTGCTTTAGAGCTGAAAAGATAACAAAGGAACAAATTAGTACCGAGCGGTTCACACGTGGATTAAAAAGTACTATCACACGGGAAGGACCGCCCGGGCCATGGTACTTGGTTTTCAGTCAAGTAAGTCCAGGAATACGGGCAGTACCTATCCCGGCCTTAATTAGCCGTTCGGGAGTCAGGTAAGACATGATTTTGAAGCAGCCTCCTGCCTCCACAGCAATGACATCTTGGCTAAGCTCCTCGGAGATGAATGGCTCGGGGGATTTAGGAGGAAATGCGTTCCACTTCCTAGGAATCAAACCGTTCGGGACAGAGACAAAGAAAAACCTATCTTTCCAACCCTTAATGGAAGAAGGGGCATCACAGAACAAAATATGTCCTGATCGGGAGCTTACCACCAGAAAGCCGTGGGACTGCTGGGGGATAACCGAAAAGAAATAGTGGAAAAGCTCTAGAGTGGGTGTGACCTTGACGCTGTGACAACGACAAATAAAACCAGCTATCGACCGGTAGGAGTTCGGCATTATTTGGGCTGGTACTACATTGTAAAAATTTAAAAGAGAGACAAAAAAGGGGTGAAGTGGGAATCTAAGACCGGCCTTGACTGAGTCGAAATGGACCACAACCATCCCTGGGAAGTGGCGCATTGGGTGAAGACCCGATTGAAGACGGAAGTCCACCGAATCAGGAATTAACATCTGAATTTGGGCCCGATTCTGGGCCGTGAGCTTTTGGCGCATAAGCCTAATAAGAGCTAGGTCAAGCTTATGACAGGAAACGCCGCTTGGAGGACCGGCTTCCATGACTTCCAATTCATCTCCCGATTTGGTGCCGTCAGGGTAAACATCGGAGGAGGAAGAGGAATCATTGCCGTTAACCTCCGCCGGAATAGGGACAACTTGCAGCATATCGCTAGGGTTTTCTTCTGGAATTGCAGTACCGGAGGTAGAGGGTTCAGATGAACGAAGGGGTGCCATTCTCACCGAACGAGGGAACTAAACAGTAGAAGGGAACTCGAAGGATACCTGAACAGAAGCTGCGGATGAAGCTCTAGAGAGAAGGATGAATTATAAGCCGGAGATGCAAAGTTTCGAAACCCAGAATCAAAACCAGAAGAGCCTATTTATACTCTGTCACGCCGATTCAGCTGCCAATCAGAAGAGGACACGTTTTTTGTAATGATGACAGAGACACTTGTCGCACAGAGAATCCTCCTCAAGTAATCATGACGTTTATCGGAGAAGTGAAACGGCAGTTGCAAATAACCGTCAAAATATGCCTCGGGAACCGGCGGGATGCCATCCGATACTCACCCGAACAGCATTCGGGCAATAATCTTCTACTTCCTTATGCGCTCACTACCGTTCGAGACATAGGAAGTGGGGGACTAGTGTTGGGATATTGGGTCCAGGCCCAATATCCCTAGGCCCAAATCCGGGAAGAAGCAGCAAGCCCAAAGAACTCCCGAACAGCATTCGGGATAAAACTTATACTTGGAACATTCTGGGTAACGATTATGCCAAGGTATCACGGCCCAAATATCGATCGGCGTTCGGGATACTTCAGGTAGAAATTATCACCTATGGCGGGGTCCCACACACCGAACACCTTGCCCGAACGGGCAGTCAGCAAGTGGAGGCCGCATTTAATGCTGGATCATGACAGCTGCAAGTGGGGGCATGAGTGCTTACATGGCAGAGGTGATAGCCTACCAGATTCGACCACGTGTCCACCTTACCCATCCCCATCTTAGTATAAATATCCATGTTTAGATCATTGTAAAGGGTTAGCATTTTAATACTCAGAGCTTAGCAATAGATTTACATCTTCCATCCTTGTAATCTCGTATTCATCTACCTTCGGGTAGCTCCAGTGTAATCACATATTTATTGAATACCGGTAAGCTTCTGAGTTGAGCAAATATCTCACTGTTTTATATTTTATACACATTTTAATCCAACCCAATATCCCTACAATATCCAAGGCTTGTGTTGGGCTTTCGGATCTTCGGGAATAAACCTCAACAACGCCCATCAAAGTTGGCGAAAAACATTTTTAATCTATCGTTTTCCAAAATATATTGCCATATAACTTCTTTTTAATGGTTTGCGACTAGAATTTTTAAATTGAGGATTCATAGAACCAGCAGCATAAGCTTTTAAAGCAAGACTTTCAGAAAAAATAAAATTCAATTTTTTTTTAACAATTATTTGAGACATAGCAGTTAAAAGTTTGGAATCATCATATGAGAAATTACCATAGGGTTGGCCAGTTGCAAACCTCGATATTTGAGTTTGCTTCTTCTTTCCTTTTAATTAATTTCGCATACTCCAAGGGGTGACGCTCTTAATCTGCCTTTTGGCGTCGTCATATCCTTGTGAAATCCCCAAGCTAATATTTTTGTCACAATGTTTGCAAGTTTCCCACCACTTCTCGGTTTCCAGATCCTTCCACTTTTTATAATTATTTTTTTGTAAAGAGTGATTAACTATTCTCACTGGGTTGGGATGAACTAGGCCCGTCCTCGTCGGGGGTGTCATCGTCCGGGTTGGAGTACCATCTCGTTCATCCTCGGCCGTCGCCAAATCCTCCTCCTCGGCGTTCTCATACTCGAGATCTTCCTCAATCTCGGGCATGTCTTGTTGTTTGAAAAAAATGTCCATCACATTGGGCCAATAGTTGTTGCAGTTGCGTGTCGGACATCACATCTCTCTGGTCGTAAGTTGTTTCAAGATCATCTCGGTTTTGAGAAAAAGACCCAATATGTCCTTTACCTTTGCGCGAATTAGGATGGTTCTTCTCAATCTCCTTCTTTCAGTTGCGTTGGAGGTTACCCATATCTACAGAATGTCTACCTCATTCCATCTTAAAATGTAACAAATATTAATTTCTAACAAATATGTTAATGCGAGTACAAATACAATGCAAGTAAAAAATGTATATATAGGTACTCACAATCATGTGACTAGAATTATGTGACTTAACATTTTTTTTACTTGCACTGTATTTGTACTCGCATTAACATTTTTGTTAGAATTTAATATTTGTTACATTTTAAGATGGAACGAGGTAGACACTCTGGAGATATGGGTAACCTCCAACCCAACCCGCAAGAAGGAGATTGAGAAGAACCATCCTAATTCGCGCAAAGGTAAAGAACTTACCGAGTCTTCTTCTCAAAGCGGAGATGATTTTGAAACGACTTACGACCAAAGAGATGTGTTGCCCCACACGCAACTACAACAACTATTGGCCCAACGTGATGGACGGTTTTACCAGCAACAAGACATGCCCGAGATTGAGGAAGAGCTCGAGGATGAGGATGCCGAAGAGGATGATTAAGTGACGGCCGGGGATGAACAAGATGGCACTCCAACCAGGAAGATGACACCCCGATGAGGACGGGCCTAGTTCATCCCAACCCGATAAGAAAGGTGAATCTCTCCTTATGAAAACTAATTATAAAAAGTGGAAGGATCCAAAAATCGAGAAGTGGTGGGCAACTTGCAAACATTGTGACAAAAATATTAGCTTGGGGATTTCACAAGGATACGCCGCCTCCAATTGGCATATTAAGAGCCATCACCCTGTGGAGTATGCGAAATTAAAAGGCAAGGGGAAGCAAACTCAAATGTTGAGGTTTGCAACTGGCCAACCATATGATAATTTCTCCTATGATGATTCCAAACATTTAACTGTTATGTCTCAATTAATTGTTGAAGAAAATTTGTCTTTTATTTTTTCTGAAAGTCTTGTTTTAAACATTAGGCCTATTAAACTGCTGAAAATGGCCCAAAGATGTAACAGCCAGATAATGGGCCATCCAATTGGCCTCACGCCAGATAGAACCGATGACCACCCCTTTCCTAATCTCAATCAGTCTCATTTCCTGAATCAGCCCCTTCCACCTTCCATCTCCATCGTAAGCCAGATATTCTAATGCCTGTCGCGCATCCGTCTCCACCTGAAAATTCGAGTACCCGGCTTCCACCATCCATCGCAAGGCGTAGACCACAGCAACAATTTCAGCTTCAATACTTGACGAGGCCAGCATTGGGAACGAGATAGCAACCACCATGCATGTCTCCTCCCTCGTTTCTTAAGATAGCTCCACCACCTCCTTTTCCGGGTATATAACATGCATCAGTATTTAGTTTTAGCCCAAGGTTAGGTTTATGCCATCGAATAGCTCTGACAATCATACTGGAGCTCCTGAAGTTCCTTCGGATGAGTTTCTCTTCAAGTAAAATCTTCTCAACAGAACGGGTTTTAAGTCTAGGTAAACTAGATACCCAAATGTGAGTAAAATTCTTGATTTGAATAATAATATTATTTGAAGTATCACAATCCTCCTTATTTCCCCAAATGATACTAGTATAATTCTTCTGTCACGCCCCGGACCTCCCCGGACACGTCAACAACCCGCCGTACAATACGAATAGTCAACCGCAGCCCAACACATTCATATTATACAAGGCGTCTCGAATATCATTCACACGAAAGCCATCCATAAACAACATAACAAGCAATCGAATACGTAGCGGAAAACATAGTTTGAAAACAAATACCACACGTGGCTAACATGAGCACGCAGGCTCTATAGTAAAATATTCATGAGCATGTTTATTAATGTTTAAAAACCGAATGGAGGAAGCACGAACCAAGTCTTCCCTCCTAGATGATCTCTCGAGCAACGAGCACAGGAAGCAAGCTCTAGCCTCAACCTGAAAAATGGTGGTGGGACGCCCCCGAAGGGGTCAGCACTCTATAGGGCTATAAAGTGCTGGTGTGGATGGCATCTAATAGATATACAACAAGTATTTCAAACACAATACCCTCAAATAGGGTGACAGTATAATCTAGGCCGTAACCCCAAGTTACCCTTTTTTTTTAAAATATACTTACTTTATATATAAAGTCAAGTAGTCGGCCCGTAGGCCCAAGGTTTGTTTATCAAACATAGCCCAAAATCCCGTGACCCCTAGTCACAACAATACATAGGGTTCAACCCTAACACATATGTTTGCATTCTCGAGTCCAACTCGACTACATCACCATGCACCTTAATTAACATAAGCTAACTACTCCACCGTGCATTTCTTGAGTCCAACTCAACTACATCACCATGCACAACAATCACCTCATCATGTCTACCCAATGCAATTCTATGAGCACGGGCTCAAGTACATCTCCTTACATTGGCATAGACCCCAATTCCTAAGCACTGACTATGCCTAGAATTGTAATATCAATAATCTATTTTGGGACATCCTTACGGGCTGCCCAACCATGGTCTTAGCATCACATTACATCAAATTTGTCACTTGCATCACAATCAAGTACATCAATTACAATCAAATCCTTAGATTCAATTCCTTAACAATTACAACAATCATTAACTAGTATTTCAATACTATTAAGATTATTCTTATCCATCATATATTCCATTTGTAAAACCCTACATATTTAGAGATATGTATCAGCAACTTAATCATCCAATGTAATACATAAATAATCATTTATGTATCTACACAATTCACACATGTGTAAAATGTCTATTTCACACAATAGTTCATTTAACTCCATTTTTTATCAATACTTTACCAAATCATTTCTCATTTCATTTCTTGGAAAATAGATCAATATTCCATCAATAATTTATCATCATAATCCATGGAAAATATGATTTAGTCATTTAGGTAATCTTATGCTTAACCTACAAGTTGTAAGCAACTAGATGTCGATCCTCACCTCAAATGAGCTTTAAAACTTTCCTTCTTGATCCAATGACCAAAGCCTCGGCAAAGGAAGTTTGAGAACTGATTCCTTGCTTAGAAATGAGTGTCAAACAGCCTCCTCAAAGTGCTAGTTCAACCCTTAATCGTTGGTACGAAAACAGCCCCTAGAATGGGTGTTTTCCGGCTAACTCGTTTCCTAGTTTTCCAAGATTTGCTCTAGGTTAGTATCTAACCTTTACATCAACAAAATAACTTAATAGGGACATATTATACACTTGGAGTAGTGTATAATAGTTCCACCAATCGTTCATATCATTTGGAAAATGAATGGAAAGGTTTTGGGGTTAACAACTCACTTAAGAAGAGTAGATCCGTTTCTACGAGGTTGCGTTTTGTTCGGACGATTTGAAAGCCTTCCACTACTCCGATTGATGCAAACCAGACCTTCTCGGTTTCCTCGCCTTGAGAGCTTTCTTTTAGTATCTTACACGCCTCGATTGGTTTGGTATAACTCGTGATATCAACCAAACAGCCTCAGCACTCTCACTGCTCGAGTTTACAGACAGCAGTTCACTCCAGCTCGATTTTTGTATGATAAACTCTCCCTTCTCGAACAGACACCACTCAAATAAGAAACTAGACTTCAAAGTCTATCCAAGGACACCTCATTCACCTTATTTGGTCGAGTATAACATCACTCATGGAGGGAGACAACCAGCACCATCCTTTTGTGCGAAAATAGACTAGGTGGGGTTCCCTCTTGCTTCCTTTGTCAAATCCAGCCCCTAAAGTCAGCTATGGCAGCCTCCTAACATTGTTTTTCTTGTCTTGCAGGTGGAAGGAGTAGATGGGTCGCAGCATGTTGTTCCCCAATTATTTTGGGAGCAAGATATTAATCAATACATCCAAAAATGGAAGAATGGGTCCTATTGTTTAACCTCTTGTCAAAAGATGTCTTTTTGTACTCATTGTAATTTATATAGACCAAGTCAACTCCCTACATCATATTATTGATCTCCAATATGTGTAGGATCATCCCAATTATTTACATGTTGAATATTATAGAAGAAAAATCATACTCCCGTTATTTAGCTCAATAATGCCAAAGGTGGGACTACAGGCATTTGTATTCTTCCCTAGTCATTCTATCCCTTATTTTGACATTGTCATTCATATTATTGGGCTATAAGCCGTGTGGGTCACTCCCGATTGGGTCTAGGATGCCATTCTCGAATACTTGCTATTTTTAGCAGGCTGGGCTCAAAATAACGTTTGGGCCGTCCGACCTTCCTCAAATTGTCTTGAAAGATTATGTATCACTATTTAGATGATGTTGGGCTCTTTTATTTATTAATAAGTCCCAAATAGTATTTGCATGCCCGACACTAATATACGAGTTCGAACAGTACAATAATCGATCATTAATTACGTAAAACGTTAATCGTTTTACAATTATTTGGGAATCAGAAATCCAATACATAAACTTTGAATTTTTAAATCAAATTTTCAAGGATGTTCGGGTATGGTGTCACATCTTCCATAAAAACCAACAAATTATACCTGGAAGAGTGTGTTTAATCAATCGAGATTGATAACCTCAACACAACGGTTTCGGTTTAACCAACAAAATTAATCCCTCTTAAGATTATTAACCACGACCGTGCATTAATAAACCGAAGTTACTTACCGGTGAAACCATCAATGATTTACCATCGGTTCGTTGATCATTTCTAGTAATAATTAATGTCGAAGCGTTAACAAATCGTCACGTAGCAACACCCCAACATTAATATAGAATTAAGATTAAGGGAAGAATTAATATTCAAGAGAAGAAGATAAGAAAATAACTCACAACTTTAATAATCAACAAGCTTCAAGAGCAAAACCAAGAAATGGGGTCTTCAACTTCATCTTCATCACCATCTCTTCTTTAATTTATCACCCTTAGGATCCTGCAAAATCAAAAGAGATATTTTCTCTCATTCTCTCATTTTGTCTAGGTGCCCTTTCGGGTTTTCATCCCAGCTTCCCACATTTTTCTTTTTAAATTCTCACAAAATCACTCTTATTTTTGCTTATATTTTTTTTGCTTAAGTTACCCTTTGTGGATTTTCAACCTAAAGAGCTTTTTTTTTTAAATGAACAAGAATAAAGAGTATGAATGTGAGCATACCATAACAGTTCCCCCCCCCCCCCCCCCCCCCGCTAGCCCATGACACTTTCCCTAGTGCCCACCATTGCTTAGCCATCTTCGATAAAATCGAGAACGTTCTTTCTTTTTCCTTCGACAACTGCAGAATGTCAAAGTCATTCTCTTCTTCATAGTCAACATAAACGCTAGGTATAAAGAAAGCTCGTTAATCGAGCTTTGTGCAACATCGAGAGTTCATTTACTTTTTTTCATAAGATTGTCAAATGTAGATTTCAAAAAAGCTTTTTCTTTAGATGAAAAAGGTGTTCGTGTCTGGGGAGGGAGTGTGTTACCGTATTGTGCATGAAACTCGTTACATAATTGATGAAATAAGTTACTAACCTCGTTGTATTGCTCTTTAGGATCTATGGGATTATCTTCGTACATAGGTAATTGAACCAAGAAACAACCATAATAGTACTCTAAATTTTTTTGAAAACCATTAAGTTTGAAACGAGGATCAAGAATAAATGCAATATCATATATATGCGGAATATGTGAATAATATTTTAAAAACTTTTCTTTATTGAAAGAACAGGAATAATGAATGTAAGGGGCATTTCCAAATTCAGAAAATGCACCGGCGAGATTAACAGCTTCAACATAAAATTGGTTTGTGGTAAGTTTATAAACATGACTGAAATTTTGAGTTGCATTATTAAAATATACCAAAACATTGACAATTTTTTTCATAGTGTCGATCTCAACCGAATTTATAATATAATTAGCATATTCTTTTTAAAAAGCAGGAAAAAATCTTTAAATCTAATAAGTACAAAAATTAAGTTATAAGTATTATTCCACCGAATAAACAAAACTTTAGAAAAAACACAACATTTCACACGTCTAGCCCTCAAAGATTTATGTTACCGGGTTGGGATGAACTAGGCCCGTCCTCGTCAAGGGTGTCATCATCCTGGGTTGGAGTGCCATCTTGTTCTTCCCCGGCCGTCGCCTAATCATCCTCTTCGGCTTCCTCATCCTCGAGCTCTTTCTCAATCTCGGGCATGTCTTGTTGTTGGTAAAACCGCCATCACGTTGGGCTAATAGTTGTTGTAGTTGTGTGTGGGCATCACATCTCTCTGGTCATAAGTCGTTTCAAAATCATCTCGGTTTTGAGAAGAAGACATGATATGTCATTTACTTTTGCGCGAATAAGGATGGTTCTTACTAATCTCCTAACCTCCAACCCAAACACAAGAAGGAGATTAGGAAGAACCATCCTTATTCGCGCAAAGGTAAATGACATATCAGGTCTTCTTCTCAAAACCGAGATGATTTTGAAACGACTTACGATCAGAGAGATGTGATGCCCGACTCGCAACTGCAACAACTATTGGCCTAACGTGATGGACAGTTTTACAAACAACAAGACATGCCCGAGATTGCGGATGAGGACGCCGAGGAGGAGGATCCGGTGACGACCGAGGATGAACAAGACGGCACTCCAACCCCGGACGGTGACACCCCCGACGAGGATGGGCCTAGTTCATCCCAACCTGGTAAGAAAGGTTAATTTCCCCTTACAAAAAATAATTATAAAAAGTGGAAGGATCCGTAAACCGAGAAGTGGTGGGAAACTTGCAAACATTGTGACAAAAATATTAGCTTGGGGATTTCACAAGGATATGACGGCGCCAAAAGGCATATTAAGAGTGTCACCTCGTGGAGGCATAATAAAAGGCAAGGAGAAGCAAACTCAAATATCGAGATTTGCAACTGGCCAACCCTATGTTAATTTCTCCTATGATGATTTCAAACATTTAACTGCTATGTCTCAAATAATTGTTGAAAAGAATTTGTATTTTATTTTTTCTGAAAGTCTTGCTATAAAAGCTTATGTTACTGGTTCTTTAAATCCTCAATTTAGATATTATAGTCGCAAATCATTAAAAAGAAGTTATATGGCAATATGTTTTGAAAAACGATAGATTAAAAGTATTTTTCGCCAACTTTGATGGGCGTGTTAGTATTTTTAGTGATATATGGGAGAATATTTATCATCAGTTGTATTATTTGGTCGTGACTGGAAAATGCAGAAACATGTTCTTGCTTTTCGTAAATTTATTGACCAACACACCAGTGATAATATTTATATTCTCATTGAACGTATTTTGATTTAATATAATTTGATTGCTATGAGTTTTGATAATGATAGTAATAGTACTGTTGCTATACCAAGATTGTGTGAATTGTGTGGTTCTTCTACTTTGATGGGTAGATTTTTCATCAGCGTTGTGCATGTCATATTCTCAATTTATGTTTAAAAGACGGGTTAGCCCCTTTAGGAGATGTTATGGAGAAAGTGAAGGGGGTATTAAACTTATGTGGGCTAATAATCAACTTAAAGTGCAATGACGTGAATATTTGAGGGCTAGACGTGTGAAATATTGTGTTTTTTCTAAAGATTTGTCTATTGTTGGAATAGTACTTACAACTTAATTGTTGTACTTATTAGATTTAAAGATCTTTTCCTTCTTTTTTTAAAAGAATATGCTAACTATATTATAAATCTACAGCAAACCAATTTTATGTTGTAACTGTTAATCTCGCCGGTGCATTTTCTGAATTTGAAAATGCCCCTTAGGCTCATTATTTCTGTTCTTTCATGAAAGAAAAGTTTTTAAAATATCTTTCACATATTCCGCATATATATGATATTTCAAACTTAATGCTTTTCAAAATTGTTTAGAGTACTATTATGATTGTTTTTTTGGTCCATTACCTATGTACGAAGATAAGCCCATAGATCCTAAAGAGCAATAAAACGAAAGAGCAATAAAGCGAGGTTAGTAACTTATTTCATCAATTATATAATGAGTTTCATGCACCCTCTCCCCAGACATGAACATCTTCATCTAAAGGAAAATCATTTTTAAAATCTACATTTGTCAATCATATGAAATAAGTAAATCAACTCTCGCTGTTGCACAAAGCTCAATTAACGGGCTTTCTTTATACCTAGCGTTTCATGTTGACTGAAGAAGGGGGCGACTTTGACGTTGTGCAATGGCGGAAGGACAAAGAAAAAACATTTTCAATTTTATCGAAGATGGCTAAGCAAGTGCTATCAATGCCGGTATCAAGAGTTGCCGTGGAACAAGAATTTAGTGCGGCCGACAACTTTCTAATGGATTATGGAACGAGATTGAGCACAAAATCTCTTGAGACGCTTGTTTGCTTCTACGATTGGTTGCTGGCCCAGCGTAGAACTCAAGAAGTTAGCTTCGCCCCCACCGCCACTTCATGGAGGAAACAGCAACTGACAGTGCCGAAAATTCTGAGTGATTTTTAGGAAATGTATTTAATGTTTTAAATTATTCTCAATTCCCATGACCTAACCGGCACCGGTTTGGCTGTTTAAAAGCCCCACCAGACCCGTTTTTGTGCATTCTTACCAACTAACATATCTCCCAAGCTCGAACAAACGACAAAGCTCCAACCCAAATCACCCCAAATCACCACTCAAGGTTGGAAATTAAATCATCTCTAAAAGCTCTAAGTCAACATCAATCATCACCCTTCAAGCTCCTTGCACAAATTCAAGGTAAAATCCCCAATTTCTCTATTTTCCAAATTTTCAATTGGTCATTGAAATTTCTCTAAAATCACTTTTGCTCATATTATGTATAAACATTATTCTTGCCAAAACTTTGAGATTAAATTTGAGAATTGAGGGACGTTCTTGAAAATTTTTCAGTTTTGAACCTTAGGTCCGAATTTCTTGATTAATCTAAAAATTCTTACTAAAACTGATTATTAGAATGATATTGAAATACTTTGTGTTGATATATATACATTCTAAACCTATTGAAATTCATGAAAAATGCCTTGAATTGATGAGTTGTTGGTGTGGTGTTTGTATTTTTTCTTCTAACCATGTAGGAATGCCCCTAAAGCAAAAAAAAAAACAATTGTGTCTCGTCCTCTTCATACTCTAACGCCTATTTCACTTCTCATGAAAATGAGAAGTGGTACGAGACAAGAAAAAGTGGGCAAATGTGGTAGAGAAGATAGTTGACCCTGTTATCAACACCACATTTCAACTTACGGAGTCCTTCATGCGACTAGGGTGGGCTATGATGCTTACTCTAACATGGGCATATTACCCCCAATTAGTCCGAGAGTTCTATGCCAACATCACTGACAAAGACATGAGCTATCATGTCATCCACACCTCTGTCAAAGGCAAGAGTATCAAAGTTGATCCAAACCTTCTCTCACGCCTGCTCAAAGTCACTCATGAAGGGAACACCCTGGAATTCAGTCAAAAGGGGATCACTATCGACAATACCTACGATGAAGCTCGAACACGGGAACTATATGGGCTCCCAAAACTCTACACCAAATATTTGAACATCTGTGAGCGCCTCATCATCAACCTCATTGGATTTAATATTGTTCTCGAGCGAGTAACCATCATGCCGTCCGAAAGATACACCTCTAAATTCCCTCCAAAATGGTAGACGGGCTGGAGCAACTCCAGGAAGACCACTCCCCCGCTTTATTCTCAAAAATATGAAAGGTGTGGTACGCTCCAAAAGAGGTGATAAGAATTTCTGTTTCCGTCTTTTGTTTACCGTGATTTTTAGTTATTTTAAGGTGGACGTAAAGGGTGAAGAAGTCATTTACACTAGTGACTTCGACATTTTGAACAATACTACCATGGTTGCCTTTCAACATAAATTTGAGAATGGGAAGTGGTGTTTCCCTGGCGATTTTTTGCACAATTACATGACCCGGATGTCGAAGACATGCCCCAGCCACAAGTGCCCCCACAGACTACCGATCCCGCAATGGCGTATTTGATCCAATCCATGGATCGAATGCATATGAGGATGGACACATATGCGGCACAGCAGGCCGAGATGTACACCCGGCAAGAGGAGCTATGCACCCGTTATGATGCCTTTAAGACACGCCAAACGAGGATTGAGGATCAATTGCAGGGTTATGACCGAATGTTTAAGCAATTCACTCAACACTTTTATGGTCAATTTGGGTACCCCTCCCGATTCACACCATTGAGTACCCTTTGTTGGTATTTTTATGACATATCTTCTCTGACACACTTTATTGTGGATGTTGATGGAAGTATTTTTTTTTCATTCATCATACATTGGGACAATGTATTTTTAGTGTGCAGGGGTGCATCTCATAGGTAGTTAAAATAAATTTTGTGAGCAAAAATAATTTTTAGGAAGATACAATTGTCTTTTTTTTTTTTTTTTTTTTTTTTTTTTTTTTTTTTTTTTTTTCCTAAAAAAAAAAAAAAAAAGGAAGATACAATTGTCATATTTCTCATTTTAATGGGTATTTGGTTGAGAAAGTTTTTTTTATTATTATTCCCAAAAATTATCATTTTTTAGATTCATTTCACAATTTTTTACTCTTGAAAACCATTCTCAAAAGAATTCTTGTGACTAGAAAACATCATCTTCCTTCATTTCCAAAATGGTCAAATACATCTCAAATACTCAAGCGCCATTTTGGAATACAAATCCACTCTCCCACTTCATCAAATAAATTGGCATCATCATATGACTTTCAATAAATACATGTTGAGACCCATTTCAAATGAGTTACAAAAAAAACTCATGGTCTCTTCTAAGAAGTTCAAATGATCCATTTACAGTTCAAAAGTCAAAAACACCAAAAAAAACCATCTCATACACCCAAAAAACTTTAGTCACAAATCATTCATCAGTTCTCAAGACAACAAGTAGTTTCTAAATTTACGGGCTTAAATTGTCGGTTCTCGACCCCTTTTGACTACTTAAACTCTTGAGAATAAGTAGAAACTACTAAAATTATTGAGAATTGATGAGTGATTTGTGAATAAATGTTTTTGGGTGTATGAGATGGTGACGGGCACTTTGTCACGGTGTGTCAAAATAATTTCAATACTAACACTTATACGTAGTATAACGTAATAGAGTTCGTATCCACAGGGAAAGGAATAATTCTATTTTCAAATAACTAGTAAATAAAAAGGGGGGTTTTATGGTTGAATGATTTAATTTAATTTAATTAAACACGAAGATGAACGACTTATATGTGCTTTAATTCAAAGATAAAAGGAACTTGGCATTGCTACTTTCCACTTGTTGATATATGTTAGTCGATCATTGTTATATCTATAACTTATCTCCTCTCGAATACTCAATCGAGAAGTATAT